ATTCAAGATCGTTGTTCACAGAGTAGGAAAAAAAGAGCTTATTTAAATAACTTTTGCTGGAAGAATAGTACATGAGAGGGGAAAGGGATATTAGAAAAATCTTCTGAGAAATAAGGGGAGTGGAGTTGAGAAGACACTCAAAATATGAAGAAAAAGAGCTTCAAAAGGACAACTGTGGTGCTTTGTAAAATTACTTGGTTTTCAGGGAAAAAAGCTTATATACACTACAAATATATGCAATAGTCCCAATAAGAGGCATCAAAGATGACTTTTTTAGTGATGTCCTTATAAATGTTCAACAACTGGCTCTCTAGGTGAAACATTGACTCAAGGTGAAATATTTCTGCTGAGGTCAATTTCAAGCTACCAACATATAAAATGGGAAGTTTTATTACTCTGTTAACTTTCATGAGCTGATGTGAGCTAGCTCTAGCACATCATTCCTTTTACTTGAATTTCAAATGTTCCTTCACATATTAAAAGTAAATGTTAAAAATCTTAAAGACATATTTGAAATACTTGACTCCAGATAATATGCTTTTTTAAATACTCATTATTTAGTCAAAATTAAGTTCATTTTATTTTCAAAGCAGGCATGTAGTTAAGCATGAGAGGTCTGTAGGCAGAGTGCAAAAGTTCAAAATCTGGCTGCTGCGCTTTCTAGCTATGTGACTGTGGACACATTATTTAAGGTTGCTTTGCATCAATTCCCTTATCTTCAAGGTGGAGATGATGGATGACAAGTTTGGCATGAAAATTAAATTATGAATACAGGAAATGCTCTTAGTGAAATGCCTAGCACATTGCAAATCCTCAGTTTAGTTGCATTTTTTTGTATATTTATTTCTGGCTTAGTGGTGGTTGAGGAATGAGATAACATAGGAAGGGTAGTATTAAAATGGCTGTTGATGCAAGGGGAATTGGATCATGGAGGGAAGGTAAAATACTTTGAATCACAGAAATTCACCTACCTGAGAGGACATAAGGTGAGGCTATCACAATGAATATTCATGAAAGTTATTGTTTTCTGCATTTTATTCACCTTGCAGAGTATAACTTTGGCACAATCCTATCTTTTCATGTTCCATTTGGGGAGCTGACAAGGGCATTAGCGATGTCTATAATAGATTACCAACCATTGCATATTCTCATGCACCCTCCTCATCATTTTTAAGTGGAACATTAAAAAAGTTTTAAGACATTATACTAATAAGTCTTTTGTGATTTAATTTTCCCATATTTTTTTTCACTTACTGAAAAAATAATTTCTACTTCTGCCCCTCCATTTTGATCTTGAACAAATGCCAGACTTAGTTATTCTGGTCACTCTATTTTCCCCTACAAACCCCAGCCAGTATTCTAAAAAGATGCTTTAATTTTGCACAATGAGTACATATTGAGAGCTCCAGTTCACAATACAGAATCTTCAGTAACTCGGCCAATTCAAAGATCAGCAAGATGCTTTCATTACCTGGCATTTAATTAGCTTAAAAACAAGTAAGTGATTTTTTTTCCAAATAATTAAAGAAAATAAACAAAAGGAAAGGAGGAGAAAAATGACAGATGTAAAATGCCTGGAAAAGTATCCAGCTTCTAGGACTTCAAAGTCACATTTCCTTGAAAACTCATAAATTTCTCAGACTGGAATGGCTCCTCTGAAATTTGGGATGGTGGTAACCTGAACCAGAAGAACGATCATTTAAATATAAATTCTTGATAATATGACCATGTAATCCTTGCAGATAGTAAGTAAGATGAGTGCTGTATCACACCTGCACCTCCTTCTCCTTTGTTATCACACTTGTTTGAAGTTTGATTACTTTGCAGACTCCTAAGCAAATTTGTCTTCCTCTGTGCCTGTTTTAGATGTTGTTTCATACAAGACAAGCATGTAGTAGGTCCCTCAAAGTCTTTGTCTGATGAATATTGAGCCTTAATCCTTAATTTGCAAACATACTAATTGTGCTAACTGGGAAAATTAGTAATTCCTTTGGAAAGACTCTGAGATTGAATTAAATGGTGATTTTCAGCCACATGGAGTTAATAGAGAAAAAGCAGAAAGCTTCTAACTTAATGTTCTGTCCAGGTTATAACAAAATGTAAAAAAAAAAATCAACTTAAACCTTTGGGAAATTTTATTGCCTGCTATACAGGTTTTTGTTTTTTTTTTAAAGATTTATTTATTTATTTATACAAGCACTGGGTTTATTTATTTATTTATACAAGCACTGGGTACAGTCAGAAGCGCGGGAGGGTGAGAGAATTCACCAGAGCCAGAGCCGGGAGCAGAGCAGGTAGAAGGACCAAAGTACACTGCTGAGGGGAGCAGCGGGCGGCAGGAGAGGTCTGCGAGCCATGTGGGACCCTCCTCCGGTGGCCGGGGAGCATCCAGGGATCGAACCGGCGCTGCAGAGGCTGTGGGCAGCTTCGCAACCCAGCGCTCAACCGCTGCGCCACCGGGGAGGCCCTATACAGGCTTTTGAATTGATTTTGTAAATCACATGTCCTCAGGGTATTTAGGATTAGTACATTCTCCACATGAGTTTGTCTTCTATTTGGGGGGAAAAAAAATTATTTGACTGCAGGGATTTTAGGCTGCAGGTCCTGGGGAACTGAAGTTATCACGATGTAAAGTCAGACCCTACTAGAGAAAAGATGGCGAGAAATTATTCTAATCTCCTACCTGGAGGGATAAGTTTCACTACTGTATGTAGAGTAACTGGCATGGAAAATACCCGAAGAAGTGATAGTGTCTTTCTTCTATGGGCCAATAAGAAAAGACTGAAATGATTTTCAAGTGTAAGTTCTGAATAGGATAAGCTACTTAAGGGCAGTAAATTTGAACACTCTTATTTGATTTCAGTATTACAACTGAAATGTATGAGGATGCATGCAATTTAAAGTTTCATTGTTAAAATAGTTTTTTTATTATTATTATATAATTCACTTTTAAACAAACAGTTACTATGACCTAGCAGCCTTTGTGGAAAAATAAAAATAAAATGATGAACTTTTAGAACAAATTCCAAATGGTTCATTGATTTTGTTTCACCATGGAAAAATCACTTAACCTCCCAGTGTCAGTTTACCCATCTGTGAAATGAGAAGGATAATATTTTCTTATGGGGATGTTTTGAAAATTATTTTGCAAATGTAGTGGATGAAATTGTTGCAAGCATCACTGCTCTTTTTCCACTTCTTTAAAGAAGCAGACAGTATTATTTATGTACCAGTTGATGGTCAAATTGTTGTCTGGGTTGAATTATGTACATTTATTAGCAGTTGTCTGCTTTTTACTACTTAAAGAACTCCCCCCTCTCCCAGAGTGCTCAATTTATGCATTGAGTCAAAACGAGGAAATCGAAGTATCTTAAAATCATTCTAAGCTTCATATTTATGAGCTGATAATCCGATATTTCTGGTAATTATTCCTTCCTTCATTTTAGCTCATGTTTTCTCTGATGTGGTTTTTCGCCTCACCTCACTTCACAAGATTGATAGTTCTCCATGTTTCCCTGCTAGAGGTCACCTCTGAGCTGAAGGCAAAACACATCCCACTCTGGCTTCTGTTGACTTTCAAGTCAACTATCAAAGAATTTATTCCAGACATCTTCTAACCTCAATTTGAAAACTCCACCCTAAAGATTACAGGGAGATATCCTAGGGAGTTGCCATAGTGACTCTAAGAGTTTGGCATGGAGGAGACAAAGCCACTGATACAAGATTTTTATACTTGATAGGCTTAATTATATAACATGGTCATGAACCCCTGTGCTTGTGTCACTTAGGTCTGGAAAGAAATTTTCCCCTTCAGGCTCTTCTGTCTCTTATGGTGCCAATCAACAGGCTTCTTGGTAATAAGATTCTTTATGCCAATAGCTCCAGCATAACCTCAAGTGGTGCTTGTAGTAATGATAGAATCATTACAAAACCATAGAAGAAAAGGGAAATATATTTCATGGGTGTGATTAAGTCATCATAATGTTCTTGCATATGTAAATTATCCTTGACTTAATGAACTGCCTTGCTCACATAATAGTATCTTAACCTGGCTCTGGAAAGTCATTTTTTACCCATGTTGATAATTGTTACCAGACTTGGCAGGGCTTCTCTCCAGATTATCACGCTGAGGTGGAATTTATGAATAATGTTTCTGTGTGCATGAATTTTGTTTTAACTGTTAGAAGTGCTCTTGTTAAGTAAAGTTATTATATGAATTACTTTAATTAATTAGTATGATACTTAGAGAGAAAACCTGATTACATTATAATATCTAGAATGACAAGGGTCATTTAAAAATGTTTTCCTTGATTTCAAAAGAATTATCTATTTATTGGTGAAAGTTAGGAAATTACAGAAAGGAACAAAGAAGAATATTATCTCTATCTCTCAAGTTTAGGTAATCACATTCTTCAAGATGAACACTTTTTGAAGAATATTTTCATTGTTTTACTGAACACATTTCATATTTCAAAAAAAAAAAGTTATATGAAACCCTGGTAAAATGGGATTCTTTATTCTTTTATCAGAAATTGAATCTAACATTCGAATATTCATATTTCATGGACTTTATATTCAGGTTTATGAAAGTACCAGGGAGTATTTTGTGTTTTCCCTCTGCTGCCTTAGAGAATTAAATGCATCCAAAATTATTCCAGGGCCTTATCTTCAAAGATGACCAGGTCCAGCACCATATAATTATTGCCAAATCTGGGGGAAATTAATGACAGTTGTGTTATTATTTAAATATAAATCTTTATGTGTGACTAGAAGGAAAAGATTTTCTGGAAAATGTAAGGTGGTATGAAGGAATCCCAATGATATGTCAAAGCTATTGTCCTCTGATTAAAATTTTTCAATTATTTTTCTGTCTTTTTGTAATATATAGTTTGGCAGTTTAAATTTTATTTACAGTAGAAAGTTCAGTTCAGTGTAGCTCTTGGGAAGTTAATCATTTTATAACTTTGATTTAATCAACATTTTCTTTAATCCCCTTTTAGGCAGCCAAGGGCAGTTTCCACTAACACAGAATGTAACGGTTGTTGAAGGCGGAACTGCAATTTTGACCTGCAGGGTTGATCAAAATGATAACACCTCCCTCCAGTGGTCAAATCCAGCTCAACAGACTCTGTACTTTGATGACAAGAAAGGTGAATATATTTTCTTTTAAATGTTTTAATCATATTCTGAAATAGCCTAATTATAATGAATTTATTTTTCTGAGATGATTCAAATTATTTCTTTTGATTACCAAACTGCTGCTGCTTGTATTTAAACATGTTAAATATTAAATACTTTAGTTTGCAAGTCATAAACACTAAAGACAACCTATGTCAACTTTTTAATAAAATAAACAGTTCCAATCTATTTCAAAAATAGTTTCATGCCCTCTCTTAACAATTATCTTCTCTTCCGATGCATCTTGGTTTTTTTTTTTTTGTTTTATTCTTGTAGCTGCATTGTATGTGGAGTGAATATTTTTTTCTCACTGCTGGTAGCATGTTATTTTTATTAACATTAGTTTAATGCGTTTACAAGATGCTTAGATTTATTTATTTTGTGTGTTTCTAAGTTGGATTTGAAAGTAAGAATTGTAGCAACAAATTTTATTGATATAATAAATTTAAGATACATAGATACAGTACAAAAGGAAATGTTTTTAGGGACAATGGATTTTTAGAGTTGTTCATAAAACAAATATATAGTTATACCTTTTATCACTGTTGATATGTACATATTTAAACTAGTATAAAAGTATAAAACATGTTAATTTAGAAATATTGCTTATTTTCCCATCCCTGCATTTAAAGAAACAATCTTGCTTAGCAAGGTTTGCATGTGTGCGATACTATCAATGAGGAATTTGTTCCAAGCAACAACTATGAATTTTTAGAACATTAAAATGGTTCTGTTGTTCATTCATCCTTTAGAGTGTAATAATGATGCCTAAAATGTAACTTGCTTTCTAAAATGTAAAAATGCTTTTAAAGGAAATTTTTGAGAGTTATGTTTACAATGACTTCTACAATTGTGAGGTCAAATCCTCAGGCACAAAAACAAAATCTATATGAAATGTCTTTCTCCCTTTTTTAGTGATTCTATACACTATTCTCCACAGAACATCTAAAGCTAGAATTGATTCAGGGTATTTCAAGCTAATACATCTTTCCTGTAGAAAATAAAGAGAAGCCTGTAATGTGAGATTTTCAAAGACCTGGATATAAGGTAGCCCTCTTTTTGAGGATAATTATGGTAAAAACAGAAATAAAAAAATCATCATGGTGTAATGGGATCTTTAGTAATAGATTCCTGCATCTTGCTGCTACAAGATTACAAAAACATCAGACATTATTAGTTGTGGAAATATTTAATTGTTTTTTTTTTAACTTTTCTTTTCCCAGTGTTTTTAACAGATTAGAACTGTTCTTACCCCCTTCTTCTCCCTCCCCCACTCTGTGTGCATGTATCTGTGTGTGTAATAGAGCAGATTTATAGTTTCAGTATCAGACTTCTAACTATGATGTGGTTTTTATAATCAATTGCAACGTAATAGCAGAAAGTTTTGAATTAAGTCTTCCTCTCTGAATGGCAATCCAACATGTATTCTCTCACAAGTCATTGGTTAGGTTTTTATGTGATATCTGATTGGAAGGAATCTTTGACAGTAATGTTCCTTAAATGCATGAGTTTGAAACGAAAACCTTTTTTTAAAGATTCCATATCATAATTTCCCACACACCACCTGCATTTGCCTGCCTAACCTTCCTGATCCTAAAACTTATCTCAAGCAATCTGTTATGTTACACTGTGTCGAAGCCAAAGTGGAGACTCTTAAGCATGGATAAGGGTGACTAGAGTAACCCATGGGTGCTGTGCTAGTGCCGATTTCTCGGGAGAACAATTGAGAAAAGGGATGTTTGCTTGTGTCACAAATTACAGCAGTTTCTACAGGTGGCTGCTGCTGGTAAAGGCTTCTTCTTTAGCTCTGTTATTATTTTCCTCTCAGATGATGTTGCCTGTTGTTCTTGGAAGCTTTTCAAACTGCCTCTTTCAGGGCTCTGCAATATCACCATGTTTTAATTGAGTCTCAGATAAAATACAAAATGCACCTGAAGTTGAGAAACATTGGGTTAAGCAGGTCAATTTTCACAAGAGACGTGTACCTCTAAGCTTAGATTTCTGATTGAGGTTATTAGGAAGGAAGCGTAAGAGGGAGAGAAAGAGGAAGGGAGGGAGGGAGAGAGGGAAAAAGGAAGAAGGAAGGAAAAGCTCCCTAGAAGAACAGAGACAGTGCTTTTCACTGAAAATTGCTGCTGCCATTTTGAGCTCCAAGAGGCATTCTGAGTAACCTTTCATGCTACCTGGTAGACACAGGCCCCCGAGGTTCCTGGCTATGAAGATTGAACAAAGAACTTATGATCATGGCCTATTGGTCCAGTTAGAATTGGAAAAACCTTTCTTGTTTACTTGGAATTATTACCTAAAGAAAAGCAGGCTGTGCGTAGCCATTTGATGATCAGCTAAAGGGACTTGGCTAAAACAGAACTAATGCTGCTTTATTCTCAGTTAGGTAAAATGAAGAAGAGGGCAGGCCTTTCTATCTTGACCATGTTTAATATGATCAGTAGTTTTCCCTATTTACAAATGAAGAAAATGAGGATAAAACACAAGGAAAATTATCCACAGATATTCAGATAATTTCTGATAATGAAGGGATTTGAATCCAGTTGTGGGCTCTGTATTGATTTAACCAGAATGCCCAGGAAGACAAAAGCATCTGGGTACCTGGCACCTGGATATTTAAGTTTAAGCTAATTAAAATTAAATAAAATTTAAATTTAGTTTCGCGGTCCTACTAGTCACACATCAAATACTCAATAAATCATGTGTGACTAGTGGATACTATTTTGAAACAGCACAATTCTAGATGTTGATTCACTCGTTGGTTGCCATAATAGAATCTGTCCAATTAAGATTTGGTTAGTAGAATATACATTTTCCAAGGAAGAAGAAAACCCTAGATTATCATAAAGCATGTGTCAAATATTAAATAAATGAAATTTTGTTGCTTAGTTATGTAGCTTTAATGGGAACTTGTAGTGTAAGAGATGAGGAGACAGAGCTAGTCGTGCATATGACAACAACTAGCAAAATAGTAAAAGAGGCTCATCAACACCCTGCCGAGTCAGATGCTGTGGTGGTTGAATCAAAACTACATTTATAATAATTTCTTTATCTATATTGTGGGTACCTGAAAACCAGAAATCATTAACCTACAAAGTAAATATTCAATTACAGTTCCATTTCATTTCTGCATAGTTAATATACAAAGTCTTTTTCGATAATACTTAAGAACCTGCTCGTCTAAATAGAAAATAAAAATCAGGGGCAAAATTTGCAGTTCTTATGGGTCAGAGGTACCAAGAACAGATGTAGTTAATGGATAATGTGCTTGTTTTGGCCCTCATCTTTTACTTTTTATACAAATCATCCTACATCTGTTATAGATAGTAGATAAGCATGAGGAATAGAGTAGATTAAGGACACCGAAAGAGTAGGGAGTAGAGGTCATTGAAACACCACATGAACACTGTGTGGTATTTGGCAATAGAAATGAAAAGAAAAATCAATTAGATCATTGTGCCTGTTTCTCTGCAGGTGTGGGAAAAAAACAATTGAAGTAGAACAATTCGATCACTTAATGCTCAGGAAAGAACACTTCACTTCTTTCCTGTTATTGACAAAAAATACCTTGGGCAGACATCTCTAGGAGCACATAGTGCATGCAATTCAACAGACATATCTCTCTGAATTTGTATGTTTTTAAATAAAGATATTAAGTGCATGATTTTTGAGTAGTATTTCTTTTCACACTATTTTTGTTGTTTTTTTTTAAAATTATTTTTCAGTGATCCTCAAAATTATCCTGAAGAAAATTTCATTCTTAAAAGAATGAAAATGAAATTGTATTATGTGGAAAGGCAAATATCACTGGTATTAATTATCTAATTATTCTGCTGGTAATTTAACATTAATATAGGGAACATGAGAGAGTGGTAACATGAATAAGGTGTCTGAGAACAAATGTGATAAGGAGAAGAAAAATGAGTTGAACCTGAAATAGAGATTCAAGCTCTCTTGGCTTCATGCCAACCAGTGCCACCTGACCAAGTCTATCCCCACAATTGGTTTCAATCAATCTGACAGTCAGTAAAATATCAAAGATGAGCTGAGTAAAAGATGCTTTAAAGTGGCTAATATAAAAATAAAATTTATTAAATAAAAAAAATGGGAATGAAAAAAAAATGAATTGCAGTTCTATGTACTGGCACAGAAATATATACATGACACAATATAATAAATAAAAGAACCAAGTACAGAACAGTATGTACAATACTATTTTGTGTAAAAAAGGTTTACATTTACATATATACCATGCATATCTTTTCTCTACAGCAATGACTACATGGGTGAAAACAATAGCAATGTTTCGTGTTAGGGAAGAGATTGGGGGTGGTAGGAAGGATGAACAGGGAACTATTACCCATTATTGAAGCAATTCTATGTTTTTTTTTAAAAAAACAAGTATGTGTTAATTCCATTAAAAAATTACTTCCATTAAAAAAAAAATCAGCAAGAACTATTTTTTAAATGAGGTGGGTAGAACTGAGGGCTTAAAAAAAAAATAATAAAGTGGCTAGTATTAGCTTTCTTTTTCTTTTGTTCAAAATTCAATTCTGTACAATAAAGGTGAGATATATAACTTAGTTATGCAGTACATATATATTTTTAAGAATGTTTAAATGTTATAAAATATGTTTATAATATTAATCAAATAATGACCAAATTAAAGAAGTTATAAGGGGTCCCCTGGTGACCTAGGGGTTAAGTCTCAGCTCTATCGCATCTATGGCCTGCGTTCTATATCCAGCCAGGGAACTGACTCACTTACGGCGCAGCAGACCTCTCCTGCCTCATCCACTGCTCCCCTTAGCAGTATATTTCAGTAAACCCACCTTCTGCTCCCTACTCTGTCTCTGGTGAATCCTATCATCCCCCGATACTTCTGTCCTAAACCCCAGTTCCTCTATGCAAAAGAAAGAAAAAAGGAAGTCATAATATACTTTTTTTGTTAATTTATGTTTATTTA